ATTTAACCTATACCCAGTGGGTTAAAGTACACTAAAATTCAATATAGACAGTCCATTGTAGTTTCGATTTAGAGCTAGTTCTTATTCTTTCAAAGATAATCACATTTCAGGGTTTCTGTTCTGTTCACTAAATCCTCTTTGGCCACAGCCGGTTCTCCAACTCATTAGACTATTATTATCTTGCACTATAGGGTACTTTAGATGAAGAAGAGGGCCTTAGAATATGGGAGTAGTACTCATGTGAGCAGATCAATAATTAGGAATATTTAATTTTAGTGAATTCCAAAAAATGTAAAGTACTGTTTTTCAGGAAATAATACCTCCTTTCCCAGTACTAACAATAAATGGGCATTTTCCCCTGGAAGATGATGGTAAAAAATACCATCTCACTCACCTATCCTACTCCCAGCTCCCTGCTTTTTATAAGAAAAGGCAGCAGATTTAAAATTCCAATTTACCTAATTTAATGCCTCAGTATAATTACAGCAAGTCTTAATCCTATTCCAGCCTTGTCACCTTCTCATCTCAACCCTTTCTGTAAGCTTAGTTTTAGTATACTCATAAAATTATTACCCTGCACCTATCATCCAATCTTAGATAATGTAGTTCCGTAAACAGAATAGACAAATTGTTAATCTTGCTGTCTTATTCCTCTGTCAAAGATATTTCCTAAGATTTCTGAAAATTATGCTCTCTGTAGGCCCCTGTTTAACATGGAAATAAGACTCTTTATTATTGAAAATAAACGAACAGGTATACCATGTTTCAAAAGGCTTAAAGAGAGATTACATACGGCTGGAAATGAAAATGAAGGACAATTCTATGGCAAATGGTTGGTAACAATCATTTTCTATACATTGCCACAATGAATAGTTATTGAGTAATATCAATTGTATATCAAATGATATAACCATTAAACTTCAAATAAACAGGTGAACACAACTGAAAGTGTTTTCTGGACATTGAAAAAAAGAGTGAAGATAGAACAGCTTCAAGGTTTAGCACTAATCATTGCAAATTGCTTGCTTAATGCATTTGCTGTTAGGGTTTGTTTTATATTGCTTTTATCACTTCCTTCAAATTAAAGTCTACATTTACATAGCAGAAAAGAAAACTCATTAGCAGATGTGTCAGAATTAGGGAGAAAATTTTAAGTCTTTAGAGAAATCCTTGAAATCCATCCATCTTTTCTAATGGTAGTGGCTTACTTTAGTTTATTTTTTTCCAAGCTTTTCATTCAAGTGCCACTAAGCCTCCACTTCTGCCTCCTCGCACCCAAACTTTTAGAATTCATCTTGAAAAATGCCAACTTTTCTTTTTTAAAAGATATTTTTAAAAAATAGATATGTTAGGGCCGGCCCGGTGGTGCACTGGAGAGTGAGCCGCTTGGGAGCGCGGCGGCGCTCCCGCCGAGGGTTCGGATCCCATGTGGAGACCGGTTCCCGCTCACTGGCTGAGCACGGTGCGGGCGCAACACCGAGGGTTGCGATCCCGTTGCCAGTCCCCGGTACGGGCGCTACACCGAGGGTTGCGATCCCGTTACCGGTCAGTAAAAAAGACAAAAAGGGGGGAAAAAAATAGATATTTTAGGGCCGGCCCGGTGGCGCACTGGAGAGTGCGCCGCTTGGGAGCGTGGCAGTGCTCCCGCCGAGGGTTCGGATCCCATGTGGAGACCGGTTCCCGCTCACTGGCTGAGCACAGTGAGGGCACAACACCGAGGGTTGCGATCCCGTTGCCGGTCCCCGTTACGGGCGCGACACCGAGGGTTGCGATCCCGTTACCAGTCAGTAAAAAAAGACAAAAAAAGGAAAAAAAATAGATATTTTAAAATAAATATCCGAGGGTTGCGATCCCGTTGCCGGTCCCCGTTACGGGCGCGACACCGAGGGTTGCGATCCCATTACCAGTCAGTAAAAAAAGACAAAAAAAGGAAAAAAAATAGATATTTTAAAATAAATATCAGGAAGTTAGATAGATTGATAATTATCTTTCTCTCTTTGTAAGAAATAGTAAGCTTTTGTGTTAATGTTAAATCAAGACCTCTGTGGTTCACTGATATTTTTTCCTTTAGTTTTCTCTTGGTCTGAATTTGTCTGTGTTCAATTTGATCTTAATAGTACTCTTCCTCAAAAAGGGTAGTCCATGGACCAACAGAATTGGCATCAGCTTGTTAGAAATATAGAATCTCAGGCTCTCTCCCAGACATAGTGAATCAGAATCTGTATTTTAACAAGATCTCCAGATGATTTATATGCACACTAAGAGAAACTCTGTTATGAGGAAAGTGATAAAAATACCTCCTGTGTAGGTACTGAGAACCTTCTATATAGTTCATTGATTGAGACTTCCTCAGTCAGCAATATAGAGACACATTTACAAGGTGGAAAGGTTCAGGATAAGGTGGAGAACTTGTTTTTATACATTCATTAATATGATTCTTTGGTTAATATCTGTCTCCCAGTACATCAGTGGCTTTAAAATTTTTGTTTTAACCACACCCATGGGAAGAAATACATTAAATACATTATACATCACAAGGTAATGATATACACACACATATATAATATATACAATAAATGTAAGTGTACATACACACATATTTAAGCAAAGCAGGTTTTATTAAGCAATAGTCATTCTTACCATGTGTGATGAAATATATTTTCTATCCCCTTTCATTAAAAAATTGTTTAAAAGTTGATTTTATAGTCCACCTGCGTTTGTAATTCAGAGTTTGAAAAACCTTGCAACAGACTGGCACTGCATTATAATAGAAACAATGCCCGATTTTACTCTATACTCTGTCCCCAGCCCCTAATATGACACTTGGGGCATAGAAGACACTTTGTAGAAATTTATCAAATGAATAAAAGGATTGAGCAGCTTTAAAAGGTACTATTTTTAAAGTATGATTGTCCCCATTTTTATGAACAAGAAAACTGAAGGTTAGAGAGGATTAGTAATTTTGCCAAAAGTCCCAAAGCTAATAATAGGCAGAAACAGGATTCAGCTTTGTTTTACTCTGAAACCATGCTAATTTCCCCTTGTTCTGAAAATAAAAAGAGAAAATGTCTAGGTTGCTATGGGAGGTGGCAAGCTGATAATTATTTGTCTATTTTCTAATAGAGAAATAATTAAAAATAGGTATATTATATTTGATGTTTTAATTTTCTACAGGAAGAAAGTCATCATTTGTTTTGAGTACTGCAAAAATAAGTTAGGGGATAGATTAAACAAGATTGGTAAAATTTTGATAATTGCTGAGCCAATGAGTTCTATGTCTATTTTAAATTCTTTATTTTAAAAAAAGTTTTTTTAAAAAAAGAATTCATGAAAGTGATAATAAAAATAACATTGCAGGAAATCTATTCTAGTTTTTACAAGTGAACACTGAAAATATAATAGGATTCAAAAAACCACAAGAGAGCCAAGAGTATTAACTGAGATAGTACCTGTAAAGCACAAGATACATCTAGTGAGAGAAGGGACTTAATGTTTATTTTTGTCCCTCTCCACATTATGTTCACCAAAGCCATCTGTGCAAAAAAGTGACCCATTGCAAGCAGTATTTTATGTATGCTTTAAAGAAACAATTTCATGTGTCTTTTTAAGAGGGAAAATGTTTTATTATTTATCAGCTTGATTGCAAATATAATTTAAATATTTATATATAAAATGTTATCATTTCTGTATATATGCCCCAAACCTTTACCATATGCAGATGACATGAAGGTGTAATGGTCATGATCATAAAACTCATTAGATAGGGATTGCCTTTCCAATAGTATTGGTCTGAAAAGCACATCATACTTCAAGAAAACGCTTTTGAATCTCCAAGAATATTTTTTCATCCAGCCATTATACTGTATGTAGAAAGAAACAAAAAAGATTGGATAAGAATTTTTTTTTTCCTTTTTGTCTTTTTTACTGACCAGCAACGGGATCCAAACCCTCGGCGGGAGCGCCGCCGCACTCCCAAGCGGCACACTCTCCAGTGCGCCACCGGGCCGGCCCAAGAATTTGTTTTCCATCCCAATTCTGGAAATGTTCTTTCCAATTTAAAAAGTAAATAACCAGTGCAAAATGTGATGCAATACTGTCTATGTATTCTGGTTCAGATATAGTGTTTTGATCCTACCGGGCCGGCCCAAGAATTTGTTTTCCATCCCAATTCTGGAAATGTTCTTTCCAATTTAAAAAGTAAATAGCCAGTGCAAAATGTGATGCAATACTGTCTATGTATTCTGGTTCAGATATAGTGTTTTGATCCATTATATATATTAAAAAGTAAAAATAAATACCATGCTGGGAATTAAGAGACTGAATTTTAGTCCTAGCTCTACGAGAACTTTTCTACCTGAGTTCGTTCATTCTGTAATTCATTCCTTTCAATTGTCACATGACAAAAAGAATACAGGATACTTCAAAAAGTTTATGGAAAGATTCATATTATCTTTTAATTCTATTTTCCACAAATGTTTTGAAGTACCCTCATATATGCCTTTCCTATTCACTGGGTGATTATGAAGACCAGACTGGGAGATAAATTAAAAAATAATATGAAGTAAAAAATTTTATAGAAAAATATAATATGGATATATATAGTGATAGATTCATATTATATATATCTGTGAGTGTGCACACGCATCACACATACGTATACTTGGATAAGGTGGTATTTATTTAGGAGGATAGGCTAAAAGCACTTCCTATTAGAAAAGCATAAGTGTAGAAATTATGGGGGGATAGGAAGGCCATCTCCAGTGACACCAAAAAAGGGCACAATTAGGACCACATGTATTGCTACTTGTGAGTTATGGATGCCAAAGATCAAACCAATAGTAACAAAGCCATCGTCTAGTCTAGGAGATCAGAAAAATATTCCACTCTTCTGATGCCTTATCAAATAATTTGAGCCAAATTTTAGAATTCCAATACTAGGTTCTTGTTCCTTGCTGTAGGTCCATACTGATGCTTGTTCTTGGCTCTGTTCCATCTCACAGCTGCTGATGGCCCAGGAGATCGTTTCATCATTGGGGAATCCCAGGCTGGTGAACAGGTGAGATTCGTAGGCTTAAAAGGCACTGAAGATTTCAGCTTTGTGGACTTTGGCATCTAATTCTACATATCTCCTATCAGTGTAGTGGAAATCTTAAAGAGGGATTAGTCAGAAGGTTATTGAAGAGATAAAAGGATAGTTCCCACAAGAACCAAAAGAATTATGTCTTAATTTAAAGAATCTATAGCTATTAATATTATGGCATAGTGGTGTTGGTATGTCTCATAAACATGCCCCACAAGCATTTTCCAGCCCTGTCATTGGATGATTCTTTCTATAAAACAAACCGATGTCCTGAATAGAAGTTTTAAGTGATCTTTTCAGACTTTTCCCCAACTTGTGTTACAAACAGGAAAATTTAGAAGATGCAGATTATTGAACCTCTCTAGATAATCATTTAGATTAATTTTTCTCATTAGGGAACTAGCTAGAGAAACGGTATACGTATATTTCTATTAAGAAATGAAACAATAATGGGCACAATAGAAGTACAATAGAAGTCCTCTTATTTGATACTTTTGAGACCAGTAATTTGCCATTTAATTGAAAATAAGTTAATGTGGGAAATTATTTTATATCTTTAAAATAAATATAAAATCTAACTTAAATAAATGAACATCTACTTGTCAATAATTTGATGGAGAGCTAGGCTTTTTTTAAAATTACTATACTATTTGAATTTCAGTTGGGTCTTTCTTACCATAAACAACACCCAAAATGCATTGTCTATGATTTCCAATGTTGGTTTCTTAAAAATGGAGAAAAACACTTACTAAACATAGAAGTGCAGAATCCTTCTAGATGTTTATTATATTTTTTACACTTTTTCACAGTTGCTTCACCCACACCTAATTGACAGCATTTCTTTTTTTTTTTTTTTTTTGGCGGGGGCAGGATCAAACCCTGGACCTTGTTGTCATCAGCATTACACTCTAACCAGCCAAACCAACAGCATTTCTTTTTAACAGCATTTTTTAATGGAGATTTTCAAAAAGTTTTACTAAATTTTTATAGAAAAATAACTTTTCACACTTGTATATCATTGGTTTATGTAATATTTATTTAAGTTGCATAATTTGATAACAACTATTGCCACAAACTGGCACAAACAAGTTTGGAAGCAAACTCAATTGGTTCTTGGAGCAATAGTTTACAGGTATACAAGAGAAGAGTCTAACAGCTTCAAAGTTAAAATGCACTGTGGCCATCACTGTTTAAGAGGAAATAGGATCTGTCAAACCAGTGAGTTACGAAGGTTGGTTAAAGAGCTCCTACCTTATTAAACAGAACCAGAGCAGGACCAGAACACTTTTCTTTTTGCTCTTCTGCTCAGCTTCAAAGTTTCCTCTTCCTGGGTTGGAATACTCAGCTGCTACTACCAAGCACTCATAAACACTACATAAAAATACAGGTGGCAAAAAATCAATAAATAATTAGAAATAAATAAAGGTGTCAGTTTTGTCAAAAGCTATGTCCCATGCCTTTTCTTCCTTGGCTTAGCATGTACTTCCAAATGTGCTGACAATACAAAGAGGTTAAGAAAATGTATAGAAGAAAGATGGTGCCAGTGGTGGTGACCCTGGCTCCCTCATTGCAGCATCCAAGCATTGAAGAGATCCATGTACAGGTCTCTGATGCTAAGCCTGGCAATGTAGTGATAAGATCCTTGTCCATGCTGCATACAGGCTGACTTTTGTCCTCATGACCATTTTCCTAACAAAAAGAACAGCGAGGCTTGATTCTTTCTTATAAATGACTTATTTTGTGATCTCATTATTTATTTGATTTGTTGGTACCTATTTCCATCAGCAAAGGACATCTAAAGCATCTATGTTTATAACAATGCCACAAAATAGCAATTATTCAAGCACTACTTACTTGATCTTCAGTTGAGTCTGTCCAACATTTATCAAGCAAGGTGCTAGGTTCTGGGAATATAAAGTATGATAAGACATAATTACTACTCTTAAGGAGTTTACATCTAGTAGAGGAGGCAGAGTATAAACAACTAAATATAATAGAGTATGCTAGATTTTAACCTAGTGGTATCAGTCAAGTGCTATGGAGCATGAAAGAGAGGTTGAGCATTTCAGCCTGTGAGGGTAAGGGAGATGACATTGAAGTTGGGTCTAAGAGAGTTTCACAAAAGCAGAAATGGAAAAGGGAAGTTCTAGACAGAGAGAACAGTATAAGTCAGAGGTGTTTAGAAAAATTGCATGGAATGCTTAGGGAACTGCAGGTGGTTTTTATAGCCACAGCCTAATATACATAGGAATAGGTAGCAGATTCTTAAGGGCCCTGTGGACATCTTAAACCTTATTTAGTGTCATTTACTATTCAGTTGTACTAGAGAACTAGGAGCACAAGAAGAGTTGTGAAACTTAAATCAAAAGTTGCTAACTTCTTGTAAGTTCTTATAAAAGTTTGATGGGAAAAAGATCAAAGCTATATAAGGTAAGGAAGCTTTTCTTCAAAGTACCTGTAATGTTTTTTTATCTATAACTGATGTGTCACACATACTTTATAGCAATGTCAGAGATCTTGCAAGAGCCAAATTGCTCCCTTATGAAAAGTACATGCACTTGAGCATTGGGGTGCCATTGTGTACAATGAGGCAGTGATTTACAAAACAGTTTCTTGGTGTAATAAGATACTTGACCTTAAATCACTTATAGTCTGGTCCCATTGATAACACTGGACACTTTGAAAGAAAATTTATGTAATTATAAAGTGCTACCATTAGACAAAACTCCGAAAGTCCAACCCAATATCTCCATTAAGAAAAAGTCAATATTTTTATTGTTTTTACTCTATATAAAGCCTATAAGGAATATCAATAAAAATAAAAAGGAGAGAATAACTACCATTCTTAATCTAAGGGAAATATTTCATGTATTGCTATAATATACCATTTCAGTTGATTTGATTCAATTGCAGCTTATATGTCTACTCTAACAGGACAAAATATCTTTAACACTGGGTTTAATATATGTGAGCTGGTAGGAATCCTTCACCTACTATTTAGAATTGCTGATCTTAGAGAAGAACCAATTTTTCTTTTTTTTTAAAGATGACTGGTAAGGGTATCCTAACCCTTGATTTGGTGTTTTCAGCACCACGCTCTCCCAAGTGAGCTAACTGGCCATCCCTATATAGAGATCTGAACCCATGGCCTTGGTGTTATCAGCACCACACTTTCCTAAGTGAGCCACGAGCTGGCCCAAACCATTTTTTATTTTTTTTATCTAATAACCACCCCCAAAAAAAACACATCTTAGAGTTGGCATAAGCCAAGAATTGAAAAAATTAGAGGTCCAGTCACAATAAAACTGAAGATAAATCTACAGTAGATAGTACTTTGAACCTGACTAGGTTGCAGCAGAGCTGTAGGCTAGTTTTTATCTAATAACCACCCCCCAAAAAAACACATCTTAGAGTTGGCATAAGCCAAGAATTGAAAAAATTAGAGGTCCAGTCACAATAAAACTTAAGATAAATCTACAGTAGATAGTACTTTGAACCTGACTAGGTTGCAGCAGAGCTGTAGGCTAACACAGTTAAGCTTAAGAAGCAACTGCCTTAAGATTTCCTTATTATTCATTTTCCACCTTGGCCAAAAAGGCATATTCAGTAAAAGAAGGATTTCTTGAGGTCTACATTAAATGTCTTGTTCCTCAGGCTCAGAAGATAGTTTTGGCTTTAGCACCTCTACTAAAAAACACATCTATCATATTGAAATTTTAAAAGCTTTTCATTAAAAATCACTGCACTGAAAAATGTTCACGTATAGTGGATTAAGAGATGTCCCAGACAATAAATAGTATCTGAGACTGAAAATCATAAAATTGTTTAAATGCACTGGGCCAGGCCGGCCCGGTGGCGCACTGCTACAGTGCGCCGCTTGGGAGCGCGGCAGCGCTCCCACCAAGGGTTCGGATCCCACATACAGACCGGTTCCCGCTCACTGGCTGAGCAAGGTGCGGGCGCAACACCAAGGGTTGCGATCCCGTTGCCGGTCCCGGTCCGGTACGGGCGCGACACTGAGGGTTGCGATCCGTTGCTGGACACGAAAAAAGACAAAAAGGAAAAAAACAATAAAAATAAAATAAATGCACTGGGCCCTAAATTTTTCATTTCAAATACTACACATTATCTTGGTGGAAAATTACATTAAAATGTAACAGTTCTGAGTAAGCCTACAAATCTTTTGTTCAAAGAACAGAATAAGGGGATATAAGGTACATAGCTCAATGCCAGATCTGAACCCAATAATCTCTTTCTGCAATGACTGTAGGAGTAAAACAGGGAGAACACTAGAGTTGTAAGCCAAGAAGGAATGCAGGAGGGCCCAAGGGTAGCCCCCTCCACCCAGAAGCAGAGCATGCCGGAGGTCCTAGGCAGGGACCAAGGGCAGCCCCCCTACCCAGAAGCAGGCAAGAAGCAGAGCACACCTGGGATCCTAGGCAGGGGCCAAGAGCAGCCACCTCCACCCAGAAGCAAGCAAGGAGCATGCCCAAAACACCACTTCCACACAAGTAGCTCACCACAGCCACAGCCACAGCAGTAGCCACATTTGTCATACAGGTGGCCCACCAGACACTCAACTGCATTGACACAAGGAGAGTTACCAGCAGAGACCAGAAAAAAAGGGGGATATCTCTCTCCTCAATGCCCACTCCAGAGTAATAGAAGTAGCAACTGCTCTACCAGATAACCAGACATCAGCATAGAGATGCTAGAAATACAAAAATCCAAGAAAATATGACACTACCAAAAGAATACAGTAATTCTCAAATACCAGACCCTTTAGAGCAGAAAACACTTGAAATGACTGAAAAGGAATTCCAAGCAACAATCTTAAGGAAACTCACTGAAATACAAGAAGACTCGGACAACATAATGAAACAAGAAAAAAATCCAGGATATGAAGGAGGAAATTTACAAAGAGATTAATATCTTTAAAAACAGTGTAGCAGAACTCATGGAACTGACAGATTCACTCAGCAAAATAAAAAACATAACCAATAGCTTAAGCAGCAGGCTAGAACAAATAGAAGAAAGAATTTCTGATCTTGAAGATAGTTTTTGCAAAGTAACCCAGGCAGACCAAAAAAAAAAAAAGAAAAAAGAATTTTAAAAAATGAACAAAATGTCACAGAACTAGCAGACACTTAAGAGCACAAACATCTGAATCATGGATATTCACCTTAAGCACACAAACATTCAAATCATGGGTGTTCCAGAAGGGGAAGAGAAAGGAAAAGTCATGGAAAACCTATTTGATGAAATAATAATGGAAAACTTCCTAGGTATAAGGAGAGACATGGACCTTCAGATCCAGGAGGCTCAAAAATCCCCAAACAGATTCAACCCAAAAAGATTTTCTCCAAGACACCTGGTAGTCAAACTGGCAAAGCTCAAAGACAAAAAATCTTAAAAGAAGCAAGAGAAAAGGTATAATGGAGCCCCTATCACAGCAGACTTCTCAACAGAAACTCTACAGGCTAGAAGACAGTGGGATGATATATTTAAAATAACAAAAGAAAAAAAAACTGCCAGCCAACAATACTATACCCAACAAGGTTATCCTTCAGCAATGAGGGAGAAATAGTGTATTTTCCAGACAAACAAAAACTGCAAGAGTTCACCACCTCATGACCAGCCCTACAAGAAATCCTTAAGGAAGTTGTGCATCTGGAATTTGAATAACAATAATCACTACCATGAATACACAAGAAAAAACCCACTGGTAGAACAAAAATACAAATGAGAAAGAGAAAGAAACTAAATCTTAACATCACAAAAAAACCATAATGACCATGTAATAATGTCCCTGCTTTATCTCTGATTTTGGTAATTTCAGTCTTCTCTCTTTTCTTCATTGTTCATTCTAGATAAAGGTTTGCAAATTTTGTTGATCTTTTTAAAGAATCAACTTTTGGTTGTGTTGATTTTCTCTATTGTTTTTTAATTTCCTATTTCATATATTTCTGTTGTAATCTATGTTATTTCCTACTTATATTTGCTTCTGGTTTAGTTTGCTCTTTTTCTATTTTCTTAAAGTAGAACTTTACATTACTGATTTGAGATTTTTCTTATTTCTAATATAGGTGTTTACAAGTGTAAATTATCCTCCAAGCACTGCATGAGCCCTGCATCCTATACATTTTGATATGTTGTGCTTTGATTTTTATCGCAAAGTACCTCTAATTTCCTTGTGATTTTTCTTTTTACCCATTGTTTATTTAGGAGAGTGTTGTTTAGCTTCCACACATTTGTGAATTTTCTAAATTTCCTTCTGTTATTGTGGTTAAAGAACATATTTTCTATGATCTTAGTCTTTTTAAATGTATTAAGACTTGTTTTGTGGCCATAAATGAATAAATAGATGGATAAATGAAGGAATGCATACTTCATGTAGTTGTTATGATAACAAGATGAGATCATATACATTCATTTATTCATTCATTCTGGAAATATTTATTGACTACTGTGTGCCAGACACTTTCTAAGCCTTGCGGTGATAGAGCACTATGTTGGGGAAAGGAGTTATTAAAGAAGATTAATGCAGAGACTATTTCCAGAATATGACAGCATTAAGAGAAATCAACAAAGGAGTATGAAGCACCAAGTTGCTAGCAACAGTGACATTCCATTACTACCTCTAGGTCTGAAGGAGCAAAGAGAGACAGTCGGGGGCTGGCCAGTTAGCTCAATTGCTTAGTGCATGGTGCTGATAACACCAAGATCCAGGGTTCTATCCATGTACCAGTCAGCCACCAAAAAAAAGAAAAAAACCACAAAGGGCATCAGTGGTACCTGAACCTTGGAAGATTCATATCTTTGTGAGAGACATCCAACAGGAGCTTTAGCCCTCAGCAGTAGAGATGTCATATCACCAAACTGCTACCCAGCAGGAAAAGAGCAAGGGGAATGAAACTCCTACTTTTCTCTCCCTCCTGCTCTCTAATCTCTTGTTGGCCTCTCTCATTAGCTGAACCAAACCTAAAGTCAGAGTGATGGTAACCTAGTTAAAACAGGCCATAGAGGTCAGCCTTCTTGGCCACAGCACAGGGTAGAGGAAGATGATGTAACCTAGAGAGACAAACAGAAAAAACAAGTCTCTGTCTTTGTAGGGCTTATATTCTAGAATATATAATGAAGTTAACCATGTACCTAGCATAGATTGTGGGTTCAATGCATAATATTTATTGTTCGTGTTGTCTGCAGCAATAATATTATGGACAGAAGATTTTTAAGGCTTTTCTAATAAATAAATTTCCAGTATTACATTTTACTTCCAGTGGTGGGATATTTTTTCTTAACCATTCCCTAAGGAGTGTTTGTTTTTGTTTTTTAAATTTTATTTTATTATATTTTATTGGAAAAAACACGTAACATTAAATGTATCACCTTAACCATTTTTAAGCATACAACCCAGTAGTGGTAAATATATTCACATTGTAGTGATTTCAGATTTTAAATATTTATGAAGCAGGTATCTTTGGAAAGATATCTTCTTTTATTGGGAAATTAATATTGTCTCAGGGTTTTCTTTTAGGGGAATTTGAAACATTCCTTTTCTAAGCTCTGACCTAAATCATGGCATCTGACAAAGTGACTCTCCTGAGGTTCAAACTCTCAGATGAATCTTACAGAAATATGCTTTTCCCCATACTGCAAAAATTTAGCAGAGCAGGTCCTCACTCTTATATAATCCACATAAAAGCTCAGACAATGAAAATCTTGATTTTAGTTTTCAAAAATAATGTTTAACGCAGATCATTACAGACACTGGAATCATTTTTTAATGATTTGATTACATTTGCTAGACTTTCACTATTTTTTAAATTTTTTTTAATTGATGTGTAATAGTGTACATATTTATGGGGTAGAGAGTTCATTATCAATTGATAGGTAAGCTAATATGTTTTAGAAGGATTTGCAAGAGCAATAATTAAATGATATTTCTGGCTTGCCTTTATTTAACAAAAAGTTTACTAAAACTTTTGGTTCTGTATTTCCCAAACATCAGAACTTCAGTAAATTACCAAGGTACTGGTTTTTCATAATATCCTACAGCCTAGCATTTTTTTTTTCTTATAGACCCTCAAATCACTATACATATATTAAGAAAATTTACATTATTTTAGTCAGAGGCAATAGTGGCAAATGCAAGAGGCACTTCTTCAAAAAGGGCACCAAGAAAGACACCTACTAGTCATTTACCTTAAAATATATACAAAGTCAGCTTAATTCAAATTAAAGCCTTTTTGGTGTGAGTGCACCTGTTTGTGGGTAGATTTTATTACATTGGCCCCAAATGAATAAGATTGTAAGACTTTCTTTTATGGTATTTTCCTAAAAATGTTACAACCCCTGCAGACTTTTCCTTTGCAGCAGCAAAGTATATCAACTGTCTTTTTTGTGTTTTGTGTTTGTATTTCCAGCCAACTCAGACAGTAATGCCAGGACAAGTAATGCGGGTTACAACAGGTGCTCCAATCCCCTGTGGTGCTGATGCAGTAGTACAAGTGGAAGATACTGAACTTATCAGGGAATCAGATGATGTATGTCATCACAAGGTCTTATCGTGCTGTAGTTCCTATAGCAGTATTATAAGTCACACCCATTTTCTACAATGTTTGTGATATTAACCCGGCTTTTTGGCTATACCAGGATCTTACGCTGTATGGTGTGTGGGTCTCCAATAAATAAGAAATTGCGTTCGGCTTGAAAATTTTTTGTTATAGGAGGGGTTTTTATAATCATTGCTATTATTATGGCAGAATTTGAACCATATTTGATCCAAGAAATTTCACATGCAAACAGGAAAGAAATTATATCAAGATAGAAGAGCAGAGATATTAAGAGCTGACATACCTTAGCTGAGAAACTTGTCATTGAGACTAGCTTCTGATAAAATGTGAAGGCTTTCATGAAATCATTTAATAGAGAAGAATTTAGCAAAGAACACTTGGGCAAGTTCTTGAATATTATACTAAGCCAAGCATTTGAACCAAATGACACTTTCACATCCAGTTTCCTATTAATTCAGGGAAGAGCTGGACTACCACATGACAGCCTGGAAATATTAAATCTATATCATTTCCCCCTCCTTTGCCTCCAGCAAAGGATGCTGGGCTCTTCTTGGGTGTAAGCAGGCCCTTTCTCATTGGAACTAGTGGCAATCATGGAAACCAGAGTATCAGCCACTAATAAAAGTAGAATAGATTCAACTGAGATTTTAATGACTGGCTGTCTTACTTGTTTTGTGAAGAAGTTTAAGATAGTTTATATTTCAAAAGCTGAGATTAAAAATAAATATATATTCTCTTGGGCTGGGTAGATAGTAAAATTTGACCATGCTGAGAGACAAGTAACTTTTCTTCATCTGGAGATTTTCTTTTTAATCACCTTCCCGTATGTAGAACTTATAAAATTCAACTCTGGGCATACAGATCATGTTGCCTGCTGTTAAAACTGTCCAAGCAGATTTATTGTCATCGGGGAAGCCAGTAGAGCACTGAAATCCAGAACACATGTATCCACAGACTCTGCTAGATGACAAGACATAGTTCCAATGTGTCAATATTATTCACAGCCCATAAATGTAAAATTGGTGATCAACATTAATTTATAGAAACCTGTCAGACAAACTGTAAGTCCTTCACTGAAATTTCTGCAAGTATTTGGGAACCTTGGTATGGTACTGAACTCATGGTCCATGGGAACAGAAGAGAGAGGTTACCTCCATGCACGTTCACTTTGTTTGAGAAGCCATATGCATATATACATATATATTCCTAGAGAATGCTACTTACAAAGTAAGATTATATACATATATATTCCTTGAGAATGGTACTTACAAAGTAAGGTTCAATATTTAAATTTTAAAGAAGATGAAAATTAGAGAAAAATTTTTTTTATTTATTTACTGGCACCAAACCTAATTTTTCAGGAACCTGTGTTACAAATTCATAGTATTTTCTAAGGGTTTAGCAAATGGCTTTCTGTTTCTCTATATTTGTATCTATTTGGGGCCTTTCTGATGATAAAAACATATGAGTAGCTAAATTATACTGACCAGAAATTCTGTTAGATTGTTTTGTTTAAATTACATGACCTGCTCTTATTATAGGGCACTGAAGAACTTGAAGTGCGAATTCTGGTGCAAGCTCGACCAGGCCAAGATATCAGGTAATTTCAGAATATATAGAATGGATAGCCAACTTTTATTATTTGTACATGATCATGAACTCAGAAGGGCATGGCTGTTATAAATCTACAGCTATGTCGGTTAGCTGTTAGCCTTCAGGACTTTAAAAAGAGGCAAAATGAATTTTCTGAATTCTACATCCCATGTCTGTCCTGCCTACTTTCTAATGAAGATGGTAAGGAAGTAAAGTCATGAACATACATAATCCACAGTTAATTCTACCCCTACATAATCCAGAATTTTCCAACTTCACCCCTAGATAATTCAGAATTTGGTATTAACACAGACAATCCCAGAATTGGGTATTTACACAATTAACTGATGTCATCTTCTCTACTGACTACCGACAGTTATGGAATAATCTGTTGCTGCTTATGTACAAAGATGAGACTACTGTCCTACCATAAATAGTGTGTATTCTTTAAATTATTTTTCTTACATGGAATATGTTTACCTGATTCCATTGATACTAATATGCTCAAGATTCCCTTACAACAAAGCTGCACTTCTCCCATCCCTATGGCATCAGGCCAAGGTGAATGTACCTCTGTGGGCACAGAGCAGGACCAAAGTGATCTAAATGGAAATTACCTCTACAGCTATAACCTCATTAGCATTATTCTCCTCACCTCAAAGCTAACCAGCTATAGAACTCTTATTATTAATGCCATAAATATTTTCATACAAATCCCTGCCTTATATTAAAGAAAGTTTGTAATTGGTGATTTTAACTAATAACTTTATAATGTAGTACAAAGCAAGTCGTAAATAATTTTCAAATATGAAATAACATATTCCAGTTTGGTGGGTAAATATTTTCATACAAATCCCTGCCTTATATTAAAGAAAGTTTGTAATTGGTGATTTTAACTAATAACTTTATATTGTAGTACAAAGCAAGTCGTAAATAATTTTCAAATATGAAATAACATATTCCAGTTTGGTGGTAAAAGACACAAACCCTATTTCTGTCTTTTGTTGTGCAATTTTACTTTAAAAATTAAAAAAAGCAGAGTTTTTATAATCTCTTTATTTCATTATTTTGCTCCTGCCTCATCTCTTGACTTTTCTCTCCCTTGAATGTCTTCGCCCTCTGACACTAAAGTTTCCTCTGAGTTGAGAAAATGATATTCTTAGTCATACTGCTTATGGTTCTGCTTTCACTTTCAGACCCATCGGCCATGACATTAAAAGAGGGGAATGCGTTTTGGCCAAAGGAACCCACATGGGCCCCTCAGAGATTGGTCTTCTGGCAACTGTAGGTGTCACAGAGGTTGAAGTTAATAAGTTTCCAGTGGTTGCAGTCATGTCAACAGGGAATGAGGTAAAAAAAAAAAAAAAAAATGGAGGGGAGGGCACTCATATAAAGGTATTTCTGATGTTTATTCTGTTTTGTAAATAGAACATGACAGATTATAGTTTTTACCAATGGGTTCACATACCTATAACAGGGAAATAAGTTGGTCTCAGGATAGTTCAAGTACAGAAGATGAGAAGAAGGAGGAACTAGAAATTACATATTAAGAAATATTTCTTTCCATTTTTTAAAGTGAAATATTACAACCAATGGCCTTTCCACACACTCAGTACATGTAAACAAAGAATGTTGGTTGCTAGCTATAGATATTAAACTGTGCAAACTCAGCCTATTAGGACAATGAATTATACCCATCCTGGTGCTGAAATGTCGGGTCACTTCTGTGTGGGATATCATCAATGAATCAGGACACCTTTCTTCTTGTTAAAAGTTCCATGTGGTCTTTAATCACCAGGAGAAGTTTGATAATCAGATTTTTTTTCTCTAAAGATAGCATCTCTAGTAGCATGCTATGCAGAATGTATCAAAATTTCATTTCAGGCCTGATTTAGAAAGGGGAATTTAGTCAGTCTTTTTCTGAGAATTCTTGGAAAACTTCTTGTTTCCTGTTTTGTTTAGGTTGTACAAAACTTCAGTCAGAGGCTCTAAGGTCAGATTGGGAATACTAATAAGTGAATCTACTGGAAATTCAAAGCCATACAGCCAAATCATAAACTATTGAGGTTTTAAAAAGTAATTCCTGTAGACCTTACCATTAAAGAAAGGATTAACCAGACTTCTTTCTCTCTCTTTTTTTCTTCTTTTTCTCTTTTTACTGAAACATGGAAATTGCACATGCTTTGGGGGTACATTCTGATGTTTTGATTCATATACATGTTGTATAACTATCAGGTCAGGCTAGTTAATATAACCATCACCACATGCGTTTATCATTTCTTTGTGGCGAAAACATTCAAAAGCCTCTCCTCTAGCTATTATGTGATATACAAAACTTAACTGTTAACCATAGTCACCCCACTGTGCCATATAACACCAAAAATTTTCCTCCTATCTAATTGGAATTTTGTATCTACTGACAAACCTCTCCCTATTTTCCCTGTCCCTCCTCTTCCCAGTTTGTGGTAACCACTGTTCTACTCTCTGTCTCTATAATATCAACTTTTTTTTTTCAATTCCACAGCATGTGGTATTTGTCTTTCTGCTCCTGTCTTACATCACTTAACATAATGACAACCAAGTCCATCCATGTTGCTGCAAATGACAGGATTTCATTCTTTTTTATGCCTGATTCCATTGTGTATGTATACCACATTTTTTAAATTCATTCATCTGTTGTTGGACACTTAGGTTGATTCCATATCTTGGCTATTGTAAATTGTGCTGCAGTGGACATGGGAGCACAGATATCTCTTCAAAATACTGACATCATTTCCTTTAGGTATACCCAGGAGTGAGATTTCTGGAACAAATGGTAGTTCGATTTTTAATTTTTTTAGGATCCTCCATACTGTTTTCTGTAATGGCTGTACTACTTTATACTCCCACCGACAGCATGCAAGTGCTCCCTTTTCTCGACATCCTCGCCAAGACTTGTTTTCTTTTGTCTTTTCAATAATAGAGATTCTAACCAGAGTGAGGTGGTATCTCATTGTTGTTTTGATTTGCATTTCCCTCATGATTACTGTTGCTGAGCATTTTTTCATATGCCTGTTGGCCATTTGTATATCTTCTCTTGAGAAATGTCTATTAAGGTCCTTTGCCCATTTCTCAATTGGGTTATTTGTTTTTTTGCTGTTGAGCTGTTTAGGTTCCTTATTTATTTTTGATATTAACCCTTTATCAGATGTGTGGCTTGCAAACATTTTCTCCCATTCTGTAGGTTGTCTCTTCACTCTTTAAATTTCCTGTGACATGCAAAAGCTTTTTAGTTTGATGTAATCCTGCTTATCTATTTTTACTTTTATTGCTTGTGCTTTTGAGGTCTTATTTAAAAATTCTTTGCCCACCCCCATGTTGAGGATTGTTTCCCCTGTATTTTCTTCTACTTGTTCCATAGTTTGGGGTTTTACATTTAAATCTTTAATCCATTTTTAGTTGATTTTTGTATATGGTGAGAGGTAGGCATCTAGTCTCATTCTTCTGCATGTGGATATCCAGTTTTCCCAGCATTATCTACTGAAGAGACTGTCTTTTCCCCAATATGTATTCTTGGCACCATTGTCAAAGATCAGCTGGCTGTAGGTGTGTGTATTAGTCTGTTTCTGTTGCTTATAACAGAATTCCTGAAACTGGGTAATTTGTAAAGAAATGAAATTTATTTCTTACAGTATTGGAGGCAGGGAAGTTCAAAGTCCAGGGAACAGATCTTGTGAGGGCCTTCTTCTACAGCAACACAGGGTGTCACATGACAAAAATGGACTGAGCAAGGGAGCTAACCTGCTCACTTGCTCTCCTTTTAAAACCCTCAGAACCATGCCTATTACTCCATGAATGGGTTAGTCCATTTTAAGGCCTCACCACTTTAAGGCCCCACCTTTCAAGTATCATAATAAGATTTCCAACCCTCTTAACAATGTTATAGTGGGGATTAAGTTTCTAATACATTAACCTTTGAGGGACATATTTGACCCATAGCAGTGTGTGAATTTATTTCTGGGCTCTCTATTCTGTTCCGTTGGTCTATGTGTCTGTTTTTATGCCACTACCATACAGTTTTGGTTACTATAGCTTTGTAGTATAACTTGAAGTTAGATAATATAATGCCTCCAGCTTTGTACATTTGTTTCAGAATTGCTTTAGCTATTTAAGGTCTTTTTTGGTTCTATATGAACATTACAATAGTTTTTTCTGTTTCAGTGAAGAATATTATTGGTATTTTGATAGGGATTGCATTAAATATGTACATCACTTTGGATAGAATAGCCATTTTTACAATATTAATTCTTCCAATCCATGAACATGGGATGTTTTTCCATTTATTTATGCTCTCTTCAATTTCTTTCTTCAAGGTTTTGTAGTTTTATTGTAGAGGTCTTTTGTCTCCTTGGTTAGGTGTATTTCCAGGTATCTTATTCTTTTTATTGTAGTTATTGTAAAAGGGATTTTTTTAAATTTCTTTTTCATACAGTTTGCTATTAGTATATACAAATGCTGTTGACTTTTGCATGTTAGTTTTGTTTCCTGCAACTTTACTGAATTTGTTTATTAGTTCTAACCATTTTTTGATGGAATCTTAAGGTTTTCTATATATAAATCATGTCATCCACAAACAGGGAGTTTGACTTCCTTCTTTCCAATTTGGATGCTTTTTATTTCTTTCTCTTGTCTAACTGCTCTGTCTAGGACTTCCAGTACTATGTTGAATAGAAGTCAAGAAAGTGGGCATCCTTGTCTTGTTCCTGTTGTAAGAGGGCAAGCTTTCAGCTTTTCCCCATTCAGTATATTAGCTGTGGGTTTGTCATATATGGCCTTTATTGTATTGAGGGACATACCCTCAATGACTAGTTTGTTAGGGGTTCTCTGGTTAGCTCAGTTGGGTAAAGAGCCATGTTCTAATACCAAGGTCAAAGGTTTGGATCCCCATACCAGCCAACCACCAAAAACAAACAAACAAAAAAAGACTACTTTGTTAAGAGTTTTTTATTATAAAGGAATGTTGAATTTTGTCAAATACTTTTTCTGTGTCAGTTGAAATGATCATATGGTTTTTGTCTTTCTGTTAATGTGGTATATCACATTTATTGATTTACATATGTTAAACCATCCTTGCATCCCTGGGATAAATCCCACTTGACCAGTGAATGATCTTTTTAATATGCTATTGGATTCAGTTTGCTAGTATCCTGTTAAGAATTTTCGCATGTATGTTCATCAGGGATATTGGCCTATAATTTTCTTTTTTTGTTGTGTCCTTGTCCAGTTTTGGAATCAGAGTAATACTGGCCTCATAAAATGAGTTGGGAACTATTCCCTCCTTCTCAATTTTTTAAAATAATCTGAAGAGAATTGACATTAGTTCTTTAATTATTTGGTAGAATTCAGCACTGAAGCCAACATGTCCTGGGCTTTTCTTTAATGGAAGACTTTTTATTACTGATACAATTACCTAACTTGTTAATGGACTATTCAGATTTTCTGTTTCTTAATAATTTAATTTTGGCAGATTGTATTTGTCCAGGAATTTATGCATTTTTTCTGTGTTACCAAATTTATTGGCATATAGTTGTTCATAATAGTCTCTTATGATCTTTTGTGTTTCTGTGGTATCAGTTGGTTGTAACATCTCCTTTTTTATTTTTGATTTTATTTATTTAGGTCTTCTCTCTTTTTTTGTTGGTTAGTCTATCTAAAGGTTTGTCAATTTTGTTTATCTCTTCAAAAAACCAACTCTTCATTTCATGGATCTCTTCAATCGTTTTTTCAGTTTCTATTTAATTTGTTTCCATTCTGATCTTTATTATTTCTTTCCTTCTGCCAATTTTGAATTTAGTTTCTCGTGTTTCTACTTCCTTTAGGTACATCATTAGGTTGTTCATTAGAAATCTTTCTTCTTTTTTGAAATAGGCATTTATTGCTATAAACTTCCCTCTTAGAACTGCTTTTGCTGTATCCCATGGGTTTTGGTATGATGTGTTTCCATTCTTATTTGTCTCAAGGAATTTTTTTAATTTCCCTTTTAATTTCTTCATTAACCCAATGATTGTTTAGAAGCATGTTGTTTAATTTCCATGTATTTGTAATGTTTCCAAAGTTTTTCTTGTTGTTGATTTCTAGTTTTATACCATTGTGGTCAAAAAAGATACTTGATATGATCTCTATCTTTTAAAATTTGTGTAGACTTATTTTGTGGCCTAACGTGATCTATTCTGGAGAATGTAGTCTTTGCTTATTCTAGTCTATCTTCTATCATTTTCTTGACCACTGTCAGTAACAGCAGCCAATACAAACAAGTTTGAACTTTAGATATATAAAGTCTGTCCAAGATTTCTGTATAATTTTCTTTGGTG